CTAAAATTATGACGAGTAATGCAGAAAGGCTTGTCTGGGGCAATGTGGGCGGAGCCGATCGCATCGGCATACTGCTTCCTGAGGCTCACAGCCTCGATGAAGAAGCGAGCAAAGACAAAGAACTGGAGATTGCACCAGGTGGAGAGGCTGTAGATAGAAGACACAAACAGCTATGCAGATGACAGAGCGTGGGTGCAGACCAAGAGCAGTATGATACGGAAATACAGGAATTACCGTAGGGTGAACTTCAATTTGAATTGACCAACGACGTTCAAATCGCATTCCTAGTAGAGAGACAAAAGCTGGATAGTTAGTGTTGTGAGTGGCATAGAAGGCAGGTGGAGGGGAAAGAGGGAGTGAGGAGAACGGTAGAATGGAGGGCGAAGGTCCTAAATGCAGGGCTCCAGACTGGACATCAAGTTTGCTATCAATGGGCCATGAGGAAAAGAAGTCCAGTTCCTTCTGCCGGCTCAAGGTGCGAAGAGTACCGTCGGCCAAAACGTGCTTCGCTAAACGAGTTATTCGGTATTCTGTTTCATTCAGTTTAGTTAAGCAATTCAGATGACAAGGAAAAATTGTTACTTTCCAACAACTTCTTTGACTTTAAGAAGGCGTTTGATAGCGTTCCTCATGGATGACTGCTACAGAAGATTTGGGAGTGTGGAATACAGGGCAGCATTTTTAATTGGATTAAAAGTTTCCTGTCATGCAGGCTCCAAAAAGTCATCGTTGGTGCCACTACATCCGAATGGGTGCCAGTAAAAAGCGGCGTTCCGCAGGGCTCAGTCTTGGGTCCTCTCCTCTTCCTCATCTATATAAATGACTGTCCTGCAGACCTTGAATGCGATGGCATCATGTTTGCGGATGATATAAAGATCTGGAAAACAATCAACTGCGTTGAAGATGCGCAAAAGCTACAGGAAGATGTTAATAAGCTGGCTGCGTGGTCCAGCAAGTGGCTTCTAGCGTTCAACGTATCCAAGTGTGTAGTCTTGCGACTAGAATCTGGACGGAGGCGCTTCCCAAAACATCAGTACATCATAAATGGGGTTCCACTAAATGAAGTGGACACGCACAAAGACCTAGGTGTCTGGACATGCTCAAACTTGCTGCCCTCTCAGCACTGCAAAAGAGTCGTCCAAAAGGCAACCAGCATCATGCACTGGATTAGGCGTGCCTTCAAAATCTTTCCTCCAGAACTCTTCTCACAGATATTTGGCACGTTCGTCAGACCGCACTTGGAATACGGAATACCATCATGGATGCCCTGGATGAAGAAAGACAGTGATGCCATAGAGCAGGTGCAACGACGGGCCCCAAAACTGGTGGGCGGTCTCAGGACTCTGTCATACCCAGAAAGACTGATCCAGTTAAATTTGTTCCCCCTATCCTATAGAAGAATGAGGTGTGACCTGTTATGGACATTCCGCATTATCCACGGGCATGAATATTCGCTCAAAACTGACGACTTCTTTGAATTCACGACCACGAGTCACCTGCGCGGTCACCCTTACAAAGTCAAGCGGGAGCGTACACGCCTAGACAATCGGAAGTTTTCCTTCAGCCAGCGTGTTGTTCGACCATGGAACTCACTCCCAAGTGAAATAGTGACATCTGATACAATCGCTGTATTCAAAAGGCAGCTGGATCGTTTGATATTTGATAAACGACGACTTTCACAACAGGACTACCTGCGGCCAGCCATAAATTTCATTTCTTGATTTCATCCCTACTTAACACACCCCTGACTCTTAATGAGATGCCCCCTCTCAAACTATGCAAATGACTGCACTTTATGCTGATTGTATATAACTGCACTTAAAATTTCATGTGTACACTGAGAAGACCGCCTGCCGCACCCTTTGCAGTCCCGCATTGTGAAAGTTTTCCGTGGACAAATATGTTACTGACAAACGTTTAGTAAGATGTACATTTAACATTTATATTTTATGTACCGTTTTCAATAGGGTCATCAAGGGCATTGCCTATTACCCTAAAATACAATACAATACAATACAACAAAGGGCTGCGACAAGTTGATCTAGCTTAGATGTAGCTATTTCGAACTTGAAGATCACCCGAAAAGAAGAACGTGCCGAAATTTGGAAGAGCAAACGGTGGGCTTCTGCGTTCTGCCCTACTGCCGGGAACGCACTCATGAGAGTATCTGGCTCGTCATTTGGGGCCAAGGTCATTCTTACGCTTGTTGACCCCAAGCTTCCCCAGTGTTCTGCTTAGGCTCATTGACCAGAACAACGTGTTTTCTGGTTTTAATTTGCAGATAGCACCTATTTCGCTCGCAAATGACTCAAAGTACAGCTATTATGTCATCTACCAGAATTGCCATCTTCAACTTCCGACCAGTCCCGTTCTCCACATTGGGCCTCAATTAGAATGCCTACTGTAGTGAGATATACCGAAGTTCTATATAGCAGTAAACACGCATCACGTTAATTTGAAAAAGTGACATCCCGCAGCCATGGTAACGCACTGCTGACTGACCGAAGATAAGGTATTCAAGCATATTTACAG